CAAAACTGTTTTGCCCTTACACATTACTTGAAACCAGAGTACATGAAAAAAGTCAAACCCCTGGTTTGAAAATTTGATTAAGTTGACAAGGTCTTTTTAAAAACAGATGCCTTTCCCTTTTAAATGCAATTAACTATATAAGTGCAAAATTCTGGAGGGACAGAAGCAATTATTTATTCTTATAATACTAAAAATGTCTCTTTCCTCGAGGATTCTCTTTTTCTTCAATTTCCCAAACCATCACAACCACCATAAACTCCCTAATTCTTTACTCAAAAGGACCAATACAGTATTTTTTGTCTGTATCTAAGTTCCATAAGCTCCAGCATCAAGAATCCTCTGTCTCTTGGTTCCATATTATGAATCAGCATGTCTTTCTAGTGCTCCGCTTGAAAGCTAATTTATGGTATGTGAATGACACTCCTTATTTGTCTGGGTTTGTGAGCTGTTGACCAGTGACCCAATTTGTGTGTCTCTGGCCCATTCCCATCCAGCATCACTGAAACCCAGTACAAATAAAGACACTGTACAGTTAGCATTCCTGATCTTTCTAAAGCAAAACTTTTTTGGGGGGTGGGGTGGAGGAGGTGCTAACTTAAGGCCTTCTATATCAAAAAGTAGGACAAAAAATAGCATAGCTTATTTTTAAAAATCACACTAGAGCCTTTGAGTGCCTATATACAACATATTTAGGCTTGACAAAATTTGATTATTTTTGTAATTTTGACAATATTGTTTTTTATTTGTAAGGCTTCACAATAATTATTTTTATTTGTAAGAATTTTTTCATTTTTAATCATTTTAATTTTTGCAGTTGCAGGAAATTAAGGGGGGGTTGGATTAGTGCAGCATGGACAGCGGGGCTGTAGGGAGCTCTTAGCGCTAACAGCAGGGCCTGAGACACCCGGGCACAGGAAAGGCTGTGGAGCAGTGACCCCAGGCCAGACTCATGAAGAGAAGGACAAGCTCCCAGCCACTGGAGAGACCATCCCACTGCTGAATAGGCCCCATACTCCCAGCCACGAGTGAGCAAGCAGGTGGGCGGGCAGAGCCACAGCCACGACAGGGGACTGCACAGGGCTCCCTGCATAGCCCTGGGCCAGGGACACCGGATCTCTACAGGCCCTAGATGTTGTGGAGGCCATGCTTGCTAGCTGTTCTGTGTGTCAGGTGAAATTGACATTTACCAACAATTAATTATTTAAATTGAATCATGCCAAGCTTAAACATATTTAACACATGGCTCCCAACTGTGCATGTGGCATAATGTTTCAACCCTGCACATGAGACGAACAACGTGATCATCAGGCCTGCTGCAATCAGGTTCTTGGATGGTTCTTCTGCCGCGTAGACTAGAATACTTAAATGCGTGTATAACAAGGTTAGCAAGTCTTCTTAATTCTCCGGCTTCTAAGCACCGGATACCCCAATGTGGACTACATCACCTGAAAGACACCCACAATCCTCTACCTATGGCATCTGGGAAGGGAAGATGGGAGAACTGCCTGATTTTTGCCAGAATGCAAACAAATGTAACTGTGAAGCATGGTATGTATGGACAAGCAAACAACAATTCAATAAAGTTCAGGCACATTAGATAGGATTATTTTTAAATATCAGAGGTATAAACACTCTTGCTTCAGGGCATAAGCCAATCACTAACCTGTATTATTCCATAATTGTCTACTATGGAGTTTCTTGCACCTCCCTCTGCAACTGGTATTTGTCACTGCCAGAGACAGGATCCTGGACTGCAGGAACCGTTGATCTGATACAGTATGGAGATTTCTGTACATTGGCAGAAATGCCACTGAATGGTTGCATTGAACTAGATTGAGCCCAATGTGTGTTACACAGCTAACAGCTGAAATTGAATTACTGGGGTTCTAAACTGTATTGCAGGCAGGACATGGGCATTCGACATCAGCTAGTCCTGCTCAGTGGCTAGTTATTAAAAAGCCTGTTGCACCTGTGCTATTCACCTTCCAAATACTGTTACAAGTTTTCTAGTACAGCTGGGAACGGTTTACCAGTAACCTGTTATAATCAACGTGGTTCAATCTGTAGCATAGACAGGGGTTAGAGAAGGGCTCTTAGAGAAGGAACTAGTGTAGCCAAAGTTTTTAAAACATGGTTTACACTGTTAGACAAAGTGATTTACCAACATTGCATGAGAGGAAAGTGATCAGGAACAGCCAGCATGGATTCACCAAGGGAAGGTCATGCCTGACTAATCTAATCGCCTTTTATGATGAGATTACTGGATCTGTGGATGAAGGGAAAGCAGTGGATGTATTGTTTCTTGACTTTAGCAAAGCTTTTGACACGGTCTCCCACAGTATTCTTGTCAGCAAGTTAAGGAAGTATGGGCTGGAAGAATGCACTATAAGGTGGGTAGAAAGCTGGCTAGATTGTCGGGCTCAACGGGTAGTGATCAATGGCTCCATGTCTAGTTGGCAGCCGGTATCAAGTGGAGTGCCCCAAGGGTCGGTCCTGGGGCCGGTTTTGTTCAATATCTTCATAAATGATCTGGAGGATGGTGTGGATTGCACTCTCAGCAAATTTGCGGATGATACTAAACTGGGAGGAGTGGTAGATACACTGGAGGGGAGGGATAGGATACAGAAGGACCTAGACAAATTGGAGGATTGGGCCAAAAGAAATCTGATGAGGTTCAATAAGGATAAGTGCAGGGTCCTGCACTTAGGACGGAAGAATCCAATGCACAGCTACAGACTAGGGACCGAATGGCTAGGCAGCAGTTCTGCGGAAAAGGACCTAGGGGTGACAGTGGACGAGAAGCTGGATATGAGTCAGCAGTGTGCCCTTGTTGCCAAGAAGGCCAATGGCATTTTGGGATGTATAAGTAGGGGCATAGCGAGCAGATCGAGGGACGTGATCGTTCCCCTCTATTCGACATTGGTGAGGCCTCATCTGGAGTACTGTGTCCAGTTTTGGGCCCCACACTTCAAGAAGGATGTGGATAAATTGTAGAGAGTCCAGCGAAGGGCAACAAAAATGATTAGGGGTCTGGAACACATGAGTTATGAGGAGAGGCTGAGGGAGCTGGGATTGTTTAGCCTGCAGAAGAGAAGAATGAGGGGGGATTTGATAGCTGCTTTCAACTACCTGAAAGGGGGTTCCAAAGAGGATGGCTCTAGACTGTTCTCAATGGTAGCAGATGACAGAACGAGGAGTAATGGTCTCAAGCTGCAGTGGGGGAGGTTTAGATTGGATATTAGGAAAAACTTTTTCACTAAGAGGGTGGTGAAACACTGGAATGCGTTACCTAGGGAGGTGGTAGAATCTCCTTCCTTAGAGGTTTTTAAGGTCAGGCTTGACAAAGCCCTGGCTGGGATGATTTAACTGGGAATTGATCCTGCTTCGAGCAGGGGGTTGGACTAGATGACCTTCTGGGGTCCCTTCCAACCCTTATATTCTATGATTCTATGATTGTAACCCTGTTGGGGTGACCCACTGTTTTAAAGTAGTCCTTTCAAAAGTTTCTTCTTCAGTCCAGAGATGGCTTTCCAATATGACACGCCCATTCCATGGCTGACTCCAACGCCAAATAACTTAAAATACTGTCTACACTATAACGACAGCCATGGTTTTGTATCCTGGTCATGACACCCTTATCTAACCAGGTTAGAACAAAAATGGTTGTGGCCATGCAACAGGCTTTTTTTCCCCACAGCACAACCACATATCCATCCTGTTTGCACATCCACACTACAAACATGGTTGGCAGCATGGTATCAGTGTATCATGGGAAAACTAGGCCGTTTTCTTTTCAGGTATTTATACCACTAACCAGCACAGTATCCAAGTGCTCTCCTATAATGCCTTAGCAATGGATGGAGTGCCAGTAGGACACACCCACAGAGGAGTAAGACATACAGAAATGCACTCAGATACTTCCTACCACGCAGAAAACTGGGAGGATAAGACCAGCCAACTGAGATGCACAGGCACAGTGAGAGAATCCATCTACAAAGCAAATTAAGTTTGTCAGAACAGTTAGAGAAAAACAGCCACGCAGTAGCCCAGGCTGCTGGCAAGGGCGTAACAGCTACCAGAGTTAACAACTGTAATATAACCATGTTGGGCATAGACACAAGCTATGTTTACAGCCAGAGGACTAGTTACAAACTCAGTTAAAAGTTATAGCGTAGGCAGGACCTAAGGAGCCACAGACAGCAGAACTAACCAAGCACGCTAGTTTAAATGAGTGGGCTTCAAAGCTGGATCTAGCCAAATGTTAGGCTCAGATCAGGAGCCCAAGTTTGGACCCCAAGTTTAAGGCTACATGAAAGCTCAACTAAGAATCCAGAGTTTCTTCTGAAAAATAAGTATTCTGAACAGCGCTTTGGCTATTTATATACTACTGAGCTCTAATACAGCATCGTCCCAATCCAGCAAACTCAAATGAGGTCAGTATCATCTCCATTTTACAGAACTTCTTCTGTATTTTCCACAGTATGCATCCGATGAAGTGAGCTGTAGCTCACGAAAGCTTATGCTCAAATAAATTGGTTAGTCTCTAAGGTGCCACATGTACTCCTTTTCTTTTTGCGAATACAGACTAACACAGCTGTTACTCTGAAACCTGTCATTTTACAGATCAGGAACCTAAGGCACAGAAAGGTGAAGCAGCTCGCTCACAGTCACACAGCAGATCAGTGTCAGAGTCAGGAATTGGACCCACATCTCCAGACTCCCAGCCCAGTACTCTATCACCTGGACCACACTGCGAAAACTTCTCAAGTCTAGCCAACCTTATCCAAAAACCTGTTTATATAAGCAAAGAGGTCAGAGATGTCTGATATATTAAGCCACTTCTCATCCACCCTCCCTTCCCATTCATCTCCAGGACAGAATTTTCTGCTATGTATTTGTCTAAGAGCAGAGTTTCTCAAACTTTTGGAAGCTGAATCCCACCATCAAGAAAATGAAACTAATCACAGAACTGTGCCATGTGTTGTTAAAGGCCTACCCACCTTAAGGTATATGTCTTCTTCACACATATGTGCACACAGCTTCAGACAACCCTAGGGAGGTATAACACCACACTTTAGGAAATGCTCATTTAGGGCACTATCCAGTCTAGTTTTAAATGTTTCAAGTCATGGAATTTCTAGCATTCTCCTTTATTCTATGATTCTAGAAGGCTGGCAAGAAGCTACACCAAGAGCAACTGGACTCAGTCCTAGCAATTAGTATCATGTCTTGGACTGAAAACCACACTCTCACCCCTCCCTCAAATCACATGTTCAGTTTTAAATGAATCAATGGTTTAAGGCTTACACAGCGTGAGAAACTTTTACACATCAGCTGGGCAGTTGGAGGCTAAGTCAGTTCACACAACAGAAGCCAGCACAAGGCACAATATCTCCACTTATGGAGTAATAGAACCTCCTATGAAGATAAACTGAAGCGGATGAATCACTAGCGTATTATAAAATGATATATAAATACAGACAAAATAGAGACCAACCTTAATTTGAAGCTCTTCTTGTCTTGTTTATATCCGCTCTACTGCACTGATTCGAACATGGGGCTGAACAAGAATTTTTAAAGAGTCTTCTATTCCTCCCTTTTACTTTACTTTTTAAATAAACAAAAAACCCAGCAGAACAGCTTAAGCTCTTTGTGAATGATTTTACAGTATGGCTCTCGTGTCAGGGAAGCCTAACTTCTACAGTTAGAGCATCAGAGTGTGGTATTAAAACAGGTACACTTGCCTAAAGAATTTTCCTAATAACTCTGATGCCAAAATCTCCCCATCTATCTCACCCCACTGAGAAAAGGAAGGGGAGGAGGGGAAGATCCAAAATCTATCCTGCACCCTCTAGGTCATTTCTTTTAAAAACATTTTTCTAAAGCTTTGACGCGTCTCTGTTTCCTTATTACTAGCAGTTCCTTTGCCACTCTTGCAAAAACAGAGATGATCTCTTTTTTAAAAGGAGGGTTTGTCTACTTTCCTCTGCTCCCAAGTTATTTTGTTCTAGTTTTATTAGAACTAACTGAATTTCTGGGAAATTTAAGTAGAGACTCTACCACAATAACCAAGAAAAAGTCATTAGAATCTCCGAAATACTTGAAAATTCAACCTGTACTTTCCTTTTTATTTTTAATTGTGATTTTACTTTTAGTGCTTGTCTTCCCCCACACACACTCTTCCCATAATACTACTTTACCCCAAAGAACAGACCCCTCTCCAAAAGCAGGAGATTTAGAAATTGGGGGTTAAATTTTCAGAAAACTGGCTTGCCACGCAGCTGTTCCACTTTAAGGCTCTTCCCCACTTTTTACAGCTGTATCTTCCTACATTCTTTTTAAATATTAAAAAAAATTAAAACTCTGACTCCCCCAGAAATTAAAAATAAGCTCCCAAAATATAACTAACCCACCAAAATAGGGTTATCTGAAGATGCTTAATGTCATCACACAGCTTGCTTTTTACCTGTGATTGCTTCTTTCCTCCCTTTTTATTAACTAATATTTGCTATAACTACCTAGCAGTTCCCACATTTCAATATGCAGTTCTAGTCCTACTTTCCTGTCCCTGACCCCCTTTTCTCTCCCTTCCTAGGCCAGGGAAATTTGGTTTAATGTGAAGCTGAGAAAAGGTTTTTAAAGTGTCTTGTTTTAATTTCTGCAACTCTCCCCCCCAGAGATGATCCCCTCCTCTCCCACACGTCAATATACACATTTAATCCTGCCTCCTCAGATAAAAAATAAATCAGGAAAACTGGGTTTATGAGAAGCTGGAAAATGTGGATGTTTTTAACTGGCTTATTTCTCCCCCTCCCCCCGAAAAAGCCACCCTGAGACTCTCCACCTGCCTGTCATGCGTCTCTCTCCAGCTCTATTGCCCCTTTCCCTCCCCCCAACAAAAATAAAGATCCCAGGGAAAGAGGGCTGATGGGAAGCTAGAAATGAATGGCTCGCTCCTCCCCAGCAACGATCAACCCAGGGACCCTCCTAGCTGCCTGCTCTCTACCCTCTCTTCCCCATCCCCCCCGTACCCCAGGAGGTGGGGCTCAGTGGGAGCTGGCACAGGGGGGCTATGGCAAGTGCTCCCCTCCCCCCAGGATCAGCTAGAGGCTGCCCCTCCCCCCAGAGAACAGGACACCCAGGGCCCGGGGGGGGTGGCAGGAGCTGGGGGGAGCTTGGACCTTTGCAGGGGCTGGTTCCCCCCGCTCCTCCTTTCCCCACCCCCAGGGGCTGCTGCTGTCGGACTGGGGGGCTGCCCCGGGCTCCCTAGGCCTCTCACTCTCTCCTCAGGATCAGGGCGGCCATATTGGATCCGTCAGCTTCTCTCCCCGTCCGAGGGAGGCGGCCGCTGCCGCTAGAGCAGGAGCAACATCCGGGTAACCGGCACCTCCTCCCGAGTGGGCGGGGGGCGGGGGAGGAGGAGGGGCTGCGTACATCCGGGGTCCTGCCGCCTTCCTTCACCGCCACAGGAAGGAATGGGGGCACGGCCGCCATCTTTGTGGAGGGAGGCTGGCGGCTCCATCCGGGGTATTCGTGGGTGGTTTCAAAACCATGAGAATGGGGAGGCGGCCGCCATGTTGGTAGAGGGCAGACGGGCCGGCACATCCGGGATCTGACTTCACACTACTGAAGAGAATGGGAGAGTGCTACCATCTTTGTTAAGGGCAAATGGGCACGTGGGAAAGTAGGCTCGGCTCCTGAGGCGGCTCGCGGAACGCCGCTGGTCAGCGTTCCCTTGTGTTTATTAGGATCTAAACAAAACAGGCGTAGTGCCCAACACCAGTAAACACCGGGCCATTGCCTCTCTTGCTATTGCCTGCCTTACCGTCAGGAATATTGTTATGAACTGCTGTTTATAAAGAGGGCTGATGGGTGAGCTGGGAATGAGGAGACCTGGATTCTGTTCCTGGCTCAGCCACTGACCTTGGGCATGTCACTGCCCGTGCACCTCAGTTTCCCCATCTGTAATATGGGGATCATTGTTATTATTTATTTCTGTTCTGAGAGTGTCTGGCATCCCGAGCAGGGAGCAAGGTCCCAATGCGCTAAGATCATGGTCACAGCGATACAGACAAGATGATCCTTGCCTTAAAGAGCTCACAATCTAATTCTCGAATCCTGCAAAGACATGAGTTTAACTAAGTTAAACTATATAAGCACTAGCCATTATTGACATTAGGTACGGCGAGCAGTCCTCCCGAACAAGCTAAACCTAAACCAGCCCTTACAGGTTGAACAAACCCCTGACAGGGAAGGTCCTAGGTTTACTAGGTCCTGCCTCAGCACAGGGAGGTGGACTTGAGGACCCTTCCAACCCTACATTTCTAGGATTCTATGATCTACAGTTAAGTCTTTGGAGGATCAGGCCCTAGGTAGATGATAAATAATATTTACATTAATTTTCTTTTGACAGCACTTTGAGATCTACAGTTGAGAAGTGCTAGAGAAGAGCTAATGCATCCGATGAAGTGAGCTGTAGCTCACGAAAGCTCATGCTCAAATAAATTGGTTAGTCTCTAAGGTGCCACAAGTACTCCTTTTTGCGAATACAGATTAACATGGCTGTTACTCTGAAACCAAGAATTATTATGTAGATCCATATCATTTCTTTTAAAATACATATTTTAATATTATGGTCAAATATTCCTTGTTTATAACAGAGACCCAGCTTCATATGTGACTGCAGCCGGGTCTGTACTAGTCAGTTCTAGCAGGATCAGGACCTTAAGGTCTGAATTGTCATTAATCTACTGTGAGAATGTATCAGCTCCTCAGAAATAAGAAGGGAAAAAGCAGAGGAAAACCAGGGTTAATACGTACCAATTGGAAAGGAAGACGAAGCAGCAGCCAGCAACCCAGTGCAGTGGCAAATCACCATTTTAGGGCTGCTGGTATTTGGCTCTGTCAAATTTAAAGGGCTAGCCCCCAGAAAAGCATGCTGGGAAAAAAGTTACTCTGGTTTATAGGGATGAGGCAGCTACAAAGAAAGGTGCTTAGGAGCTGTTTGTGTGCATTGTGTATTGTATTGTATAAATGGCAGTGTATGTCTGAAAAAGAGACATGCCTCTCTGGAAACCACTGGTATTTAGGCAAATAACTTCCCTGCTCTGTGACTCTGTTTCACCCTCCACTCTTTATCTGTCTTGTCTATTTAGCTAGTCAGCTCCTTGAGTCTGAGGTTGCCTCTCACCATACGATTGTACAGCACCTAACACAATGGGGCCCTGATTTGCTTGGACTCTCCAGATGCTCCTGTAATATATTAATAATCAGCTGTAGAAATTCTGCTTTTCACTAGCCCTATAACTCAGCAGGTCAGAAAAAAATTAAAAGTCTCATTCTGGCATTCTGGAAGAAGTAGCTATTGACCATGGCTTACTAGCTCCGAACTCCAAGTGTTGAGGCTACAGAATGACTTCAGACGTATTTCTTCCAGTCCCCACTACCCACAAAGGGTGGTGGAAAGATCAGAACAGTTTGTTAAGAGGATTCTATGACCAAAAGACTCCATGTTATCCCCAAAAAGGAGTACTTGTGGCACCTTAGAGACTAACAAATAAATTGGTTAGTCTCTAAGGTGCCACAAGTACTCCTTTTCTTTTTGCGAATACAGACTAACACGGCTGTTACTCTGAAACATGTTATCCCCGATGTCAATCCAGCACTAACTCCAGCTCAGCTACATATAGGTGGAGTGACAGCTCAAAACAAATATGCCAACTCTTACAGGTAGAGTTTTGCCCTATGTGCCTCTCCTTTATATGGCATGAGGTTGAGAAACACCAAATCAGGTCTTCTTTAACTACTAAAACGCAGCCCAAAGCTGTCTACCAATATGACACCCCGCCCTTGCCATTCTATCTGAGCACCTCATAACCTGTAATGCAGGGGTAGTCAGTAGCTGGACTGCGGGCCAAATCCAGACCTCCAGATGCTTTTGGACAGACCTTAAAATCTTTTCATTTACTTTCTATCATTAGAATTGGGTTTTTTTTTAAATTATTATTTTCTCTGAAGGCTGGACCTTGAGTATAGCTTTGACCAAGAAATTTGGACCGTGACAAAAAAATAATTGACTACCTCTGCTTTAATGTGTTTATCCTCACAACACTCCTGTGGGGCAGGGCCATGCTTTTCTCCCCATGTTACCGATGGGAAACTGAGGCACAGAGAAGCTAAGTGACTTGTGCAAGTGTAACGCTGACAGACCCCGGTCCTCGGTGGGCTGGATTGAACCTGGGGCTTCTGGAGCTTAGTGCATGAGCCTTTACCGCAAGAGCTAAAACTCAACTGGCTGTTAGCTAAGGCTGTAGAGCAGACTCATTTTATCTCTCTCTCTAAGTGGTCTTGGTGCCACTAGATGGGACAGAACACTACACCCAGAAGGTGTGTGGGTTATACAAGGTCACACAGGGAGTCTGACATTGCAGGGAATTGTCTTACCCAAGTCCTAGGCTAGTGTTCTAAGCACTGGACCATCCTTCCTCTTCCTTAAACTCCCTCAGGAGATCCAGTCCTGATAAATCTGAATAAGAAACAATACTGAACACAAGTAACAACTCCCTGCTCTGCCACACACGGCCTCAGCCAGTCACTTTGCTTCTCTGTGCCTTGGTTCCCCATCTGTGCAATAGCAATAGTAGCCGTGTCCTGCCCTCTAGAGGCGTGAGCTGTTATCCAATAGACATCTCTGCACTCTGAGATCATTGCTGAGACCAAGCAATGGGGGAGGGAAGATTTGAAGATAGGGACAGACCTCTTAAGCCCACCTCGTTTTTGTCCCCCAGTTACCTCTGTTCCGCACAGAGCCATTGTTCTCTCACCTTTAACACTGAATGTTATTTACACCAGTTCTTGGTTTTCGAGGATTGAGTGTAGCTGGACTCAATCCAGTTCTGGAAGGGCACAAGGCGCTTGATGTTCATGAAATTTGGGAGCTTTTCAAATCATATTATGTTTTCTGCAAGAACAGCTTCTGTGTCCCTCATTTTGGGTCTTTGTCACACATTAAACTCTGCATCTGGGCCTTCGCGGGTCGAGAGAGAGATGGACACATACTGTTTCTTTAAATCTGGAGCAGGGACCCAGGCAGAGGTGGGGCTGGGGAGTCCACATGAGAGAGAAGTGCCATCAGTGCACATACTGTAGGAAAAGTAAACTGGAACTTAGTCCTCATTGGATCACTTGATGATTACCAGTCCTGTTCATTCCCTCTGTGGCACCTGGCATTGGCCACTGTCAGAAGACAAAAAGAAAAGGAGTACTTGTGGCACCTTAGAGACTAACCAATTTATTTGAGCATGAGCTTTCGTGAGCTACAGCTCACTTCATTGGATGCATACTGTGGAAACTGCAGAAGACATTATATACAGAGACCATGAAACAATATCTCCTCCCACCCCACTCTCCTGCTGGTAATAGCTTATCTAAAGTGATCATCAAGTTGGAAATGGCCATTTATGATGATGATCACTTTAGATAAGCTATTACCAGCAGGAGAGTGGAGTGGGAGGAGGTATTGTTTCATGGTCTCTGTGTATATAATGTCTTCTGCAGTTTCCACAGTATGCATCCGATGAAGTGAGCTGTAGCTCACGAAAGCTCATGCTCAGATAAATTGGTTAGTCTCTAAGGTGCCACAAGTACTCCTTTTCTTTTTGCGAATACAGACTAACACGGCTGTTACTCTGAAACCTGTCAGAAGACAGGATACTGGGCTAGATGGACCTTTGGTCTGACCCAGTATGGCTGTTCTTATGCCCATAAGGGAATCCCACCTGGAGAGAAACCCTGTCAAACTGCTGCCACGGGGAAAAGCAACTCAACACTTAGGAAGAATCAGAGGCCACATGGAGGAGAAAGTGGAGATGCATTCCCATTTGGGGTCTAGTCCACACACAATAATAAAATGGGACGGAACAATGGTGGGGAATGGAGTTGGGTGCTGCGGGTAGTTATTGTTGAAGGACCAGGAAAAGATGAAAGTGAGGAGGAGGAGAGAGAGCAGGTTTATGGGGATCCCCAAGGGAATGGGTGTTGGGAACCAGAAAGGGAGGGAGGTAGGGAGTGGGGAATGACCAAGGGGATTATGACAGAATGTTACACTTGTGTTCACATCCTACACACTATTGTGATAATTTTTATACAAAGTGTGCCTTGTGAGGTATCATTTGAAAACCCATAATCCGCTGATTATTATTGTCCTGGTGAAATGCATGGCAAGATTGTATGTAGAGTTATAAAATACCGCTGTATGGTGTTGTTAACACATGTTCCAAACCCCACAACGTTGCCCAAAATGAGGTTGGCAAACAGGTCTATCCTAAACAAAGGAACGAGTGCTCTGCTTAATTTGCATTTAAGCAGTAGACAGAATCATCA